GGTTTGCCTTGGAAACAGAGATCATTCTGTCATTTTTGTGACTGCATCCAAGTACTGCATTTTGGACTGTTTTGTTGACTATGATGGCTACTCCATTTCTTCCAAGGGATTCTTGCCCACAGTAGTAGATATAATGGTCCTCTGAGTTAAATTCACCCATTCCAGTCCGTTTTAGTTCGCTGATTCCTAAAATGTTGACGTTCACTCTTGCCATTTCCCGTTTGACTACTTCCAATTTGTCTTGATTCATGGACCTAACATTCCAGGTTCCTATGCAATATTGTTCTTTACAGCATCGGACTTTACTTCTATCACCAGTCACATCCACAGCTCCGTGTTGTTTTTGCTTTGGCTCCATCTCTTCATTCTTTCTGTAGTTAGTTCCCCACTGATCTCTAGTAGCATATTGGGCACCTACCGACCTGGGGAGTTCATCTTTCAGTCTCCTATCTTTTTGCCTTTTCATACTGTTCATGGGGTTCTCAAGGCAAGAATGCTGAAGTGGTTTGCCATTCCCTTCTCCAGCAGACCACATTTTGTCAGAACTCTCCACCATGACCCATCCATCTTGGGTTCCCTACTTGGCATTGCTCGTAGTTTCACTGAGTTAGACAAGGCTGTGATCCATGTGATTAGATTGGTTAGTTTTCCTGGATTGTGGTTTTCAGTCTGTCTGCCTTCTGATGGAAAACGATAAGTGGCTTATGGAAGCTTCCTGATGGGAGAGACTGACTGAGGGGGAAACCAGGTCTTGCTCTGATGGGCGGGGTCATGCTCAGTAAATCTTTAATCCAATTTTTTGTTGAAGGGCAGGGCTGTGTTCCCTCCCTGCTGTTTGACCTGAGGCCAAACTATGGTGGAGGTAATGAAGATAACTGCGACCTCCTTCAAAAGGTCCCATGCACACACTGCTATACTCAGTGCCCCCAACTCTGCAGTAGGCCACCGCTGACCCACGCCTCTGCCAGAGACATATGGACACTCATGGGCAAGTCTGGGTCAGTCTCTTGTGGGGTCGCTGCTCCTTTCTCCTGGGTCCTCATGCACACAAGTTTCTCTTTGTGCCCTCCCAGAGTCTGTTTCCCCAGTCCTGTGTAAGTTCTGGCAGCTCTATGGTGGGGTTAATGGTGACCTCCTCCAAGAGGGCTTATGCCATACCCAGGTCTACTGCACCCAGAGCCCCTGCCCCTGCAGCAGTCCACTGCTGACCCATACCTCCTCAGGAGACACCCAAACACAGTTCTGTCTCAGTCTCTGTGGAGTCTCTGAGTCCTGGTGCGCAAAAGGTTGGTTTGAGCCCTCTGAGCATCTCTGGTGGGTATGGGATGTGATTCTAATCACAGATCACCATAATAAATATAATCATCATGAGAAAGTCCAAGATATTGATACTGCAAGAATTACCAAAATGAGCATGAAGTGAGCAAATGCTGTTAGAAAAGTATGATGCCAATAGTCTTGCTCGATGTAGGGTTGCCACAAAACCTGTTGGTAAAAATCACAACATCTGCAAAATGCAATAAAGTGAAGCACAATAAACTGAGATGTGTCTGTAGGACCTCTGCTTCTGGCCATGAAGATGAACTAGTATCATCTTGCCCCACTGTTGTCTAGAACTAGAAAACCAGATAATAGAGATTACAGATTGTCCCTTAGAGGAGAGAAACTAATTAGGTGACCCCTATGATCACTCAGACCTTCTGCCCACAAGCTCTTTTCAGACCCTGGTACAGTAGGAACTCTAAGCAGAGAATAGTCTTCTTATCAAGTTGAGGGGCAGAGGGTAGCATTTAGGAGGCTGAGGCTGCCAGACTTCTCAACAGAGTACTGAAAAGAAGGAAGTTACACAGAAAAAAAGTTCCAGAAATCTGTGCAGAGATTCTTTGAAATCTTTGGGCTGTTACTATGTGCATGTGCAGAGATCAGACTCTGAGAGCCAGCAAAGAACAGCTATGGGTGCTGTAAGCAGAACAATTCCCAGCGGTGACATGAGGGTGGGAGATGACACTCCAACCAACCATAGTGAAGAGAACCCCTTGAAAAGATGGTGAAAGTACTGGACTTTAGCAGTAGGGCTAAACCAGCCTTAAGAGTTAAATTTGCAGACCTGCCCTAGATAGAGACCTGAACTATCAGTACCATAGCCACTAGCCACCAGCTGTTGAAATGCAGCCAGTCCAAACTGAGATGTGCTTAAAACTGTAACTAAAATACAAACCAGATTTTGAAGGCTTTACTAGGAAAACAAAAAAGAATGCAAATGATCTCACTAATGGTTTTTATATTGCTTACATGTTGAAATGATAACATTTGAGAAATAATGGACTAACAAAATGTATTGTTAAAATTAAATTTTAAAAAAGAGAGATAGTCCAGTGGTCTTTATGGAGCCAGAAATAAAAAGTACACAGGAAGGAATATTTCAAAATCCCCATTTAGCTTTCTTACCAATAAAACCAATCCTTTGAACTAATTACTTTTTTCTTTTTCTTATATATGTCCAGTTATACATATTGTTAAGGAATTTTATTATTGAAATATAATTGTTTTACAATGTTGTGTTGGTTTCTGCCATGTAACAAAGTAAATCAGTTATACATACACATGTATCCCCTCTCTCATGAGCCTCCCTCCCACCCCTCTAGGTCATCTCAGAGCACTCAGCTGAGCTACCTGTGCTATGCAGCATGTTCCCACTAGCTGTCTATTTTACACATGGTACTGGAACATGGGATTCCCAGGTAGTGCTAGTGGTAAAGAACCTGCCTGTCAATGCAAGAGACATAAGAGACGCAGCTTCACTCCCTGGGTTGGGAAGATACCCTGGAGGAGGAAATGGCAACTCACTCTAGTATTCTTGCCTGCAGAATTCATGGACAGAGGAGCCTGGAAGGCGCCAGTCCACAGGGTTGCAGAGTCGGACATGACGGAAGTGACGCAGCACGCACGCACTGTATATGTATTAACGCTCCTCTCCCAGTTTGTCCCACCCTCCTCTCCCTGCCTATGTCTACATGTCTGTTCTCTACATCTGCATCTCTATTCCTGCTCTGCAAATACGTTCATCTGTACCATTTTGCTAGATTTCATTTACATGTGTCAGTATACAACACTTCTAGTGCCTAATATATAATCCTGTCATGGTAAGTCCTCACATAATAATTATGTGTTGTTTAGGAGATATATGCTTTAGAGTAGAAGCCTATAGAGGAAATGATTTAACCACTAAAAGCCTTTCAAAAGAAGATACCTCCTGAGAGATCAGAGAATGGATGAAAGATTAATGAACAGGTTACAGTTAGTAATAAATAGAAAAAGGGAAAATAAAAAGCAAGGTCCCACCAAAAAAGAGATAACCTGAAATACCAAAAACATGATTTTAATAAAATATTTTTGTTTATATTTTCTATTTCCAAATATAAGGGAAAAGCATCTTCCATCAATGGACGCTCTTTAGGTAGTTCTGAGCATCTGCTTCAGCTTATAACTGTCTTCCATTTACAACTATATAAATATAAATAGTATTTATTAACATTCACAGTTAATACAAACTTTCAAAAGTGTTTAAATGTAAAAGCAAGGAAGTAATAGTGGGGAGAGGGGCTTGTCTAAGAAGCTACAGAAAACAGCTATAATGATTTCTGGAGAAGTCAGTGGCACCCTCCTCCAGTACTCCTGCCTGGAAAATCCCCTGGACGGAGGAGCCTGGTGGGCTGCAGCCCATGGGGTCGCTGAGTTGAACACGACTGAGTGACTTCACTTTCACTTTTCACTTTCATGCCTTGGAGAAGGAAATGGCAACCCACTCCAGTGTTCTTGCCTGGAGAATCCCAGGGACGGGGGAGCCTGGTGGGCTGCTGTCTATGGGGTCGCACAGAGTCAGACAAGACTGAAGCGACGTAGCAGCAGCAGCAGTATGATTTCACTTCTGCTGTGTATAAGCTGCCTTTACATCAAGAGAGAACACATGGCAAGTTACTGAGCACTTTGTGGGTGATGGAACAAAATAAGAATCTATCTTATCAGCTTTGGTGATAGACATGGGTTAATGATATGCCACAAAGCTACCTTCCATAAGAGCAGCTGGCCTCTCCAAACCAAGCTAGATGTTTCTAAGGGCAGCCCCAGCTTTTCATCAATCATTCAGTGTTTCTTAGGAAGTCCTTTCAAGTCTGGGGGTTCACAGTCTACCTAGATGCACATCAGGGTGAAAACAGAGAGATGACAGTGATCTAGTAATTCTTTCATGATCAAAATGTTTGACACCTGAGAAAGAAGTAGGTTATTTGATCTACAGTGACAAATATAAAATATTCAAGCATTATAATTGAGACTGCATTTTCTATGTGAATCCAAAATGGAAATAGTTCACTATGAAAGGCCAATAATCTGTGCAAAGATCTTTGAGGTAGAACCTTATTAAATTTTATATTCAGAGGATATGTGCAAGTTTTCCCTGAATATACTCCTCTCAAAGGTGTAAACAAAATTTGTAAATATGGAAAAATCTCTAGAATTATCAGTAGAGCTGGGGAGGTAATTTAGAGGCAGTTGATTGTCACATGGCAACAATGATCACATCTACTAATTCGTGGAATGGGGTCAACCTGTGGATAGGCATCTGTGTTCACATACATTAATTACATTCACACTGACAGAATCATATGTTACACACTTGAACATGATCTCAATCTTTGAATACATGCTTTTTTACACACTTAGTAGGCAAGAAGATGAACATGGGTATTTACTCTCACCAGAGTTCATCTACCCAACTAGATTTTAAAAATCCTTGAAGGCAGAATCATGAAATGCTCAAAGCTATTAGCTCTATGAATAGCTTTGAGCAAATATATTAGCTCTACAAATCTAATAAATGAAAAAAGAAAACACACCCAGTAAAAAGCCAAGCCAAACAATATCTATAGCTACTCAGAACTTATTTGAACATATTTAGAACATTTAGTATATTCTCAGAACTGAGTTAGTTGTTTTTCACTTTAAACAAAGTTTTCATTTTCATTTTGCAAGTTTGCATTTTCACGTTCATTAGTAATGTCCTTGGTGACTATGTCACAAATTTTCTCTGCAAGAGCTTTTGGGAGATTTTTAGTCAAAGTGCAATATGCATTTTTCTTCCCATGACTTTGATACCAACTGCGGAGCAGTTGGACCTTCTGTTCAGCTGTTTCATGGAGATTGTCATGCATGATATCATCTATTTTGGCTTCCTCTATACCATTCTTCCGAACAAATTCTTTAACTTGAGTTATTTTCATTAGTTCAGCAATACTAGGGATATATTTACCCAAGTCAACATCTGAAAAACAGAGAAGAATCTCTGAAAATTTGTTTTTCCAAACAAAATTCCCACTTCTGAAAAACCATAGTTATTTCTCTTCTTACAGTACTTAAGAATATGGGTAAGTCCTAGAGATCTAAAGAGCCAACTGGGGAAAAGTAAAAACAGAAACAACCTTGAGTTCTTATCCCAGCTCCTCCTATGCCCCCAGTAATTTGCTCTATACCCTGGGAATGATACGTAACATCTCTGTGTCTTCTTTTCTCATCTATATAATAAGAGAGCTAGAAAAACTCATTTCTAACACCCTCATGGATCTGATGATCAATGATCCACAAATCTAAAAGGGAGGCCAAGGGTTTATGACCATCTTATCACTGACTCACTGGAACTAGGATACACCAAGAGTAAGTATACAACTGAGTCTACAATTCAGATTACCTAGGAGTTTAGGCAGAGTTCTATACTATACCCAACTGCTTGTGAAGGAAAACAAAGCTTTAGGAATATAGCATCTTATGTTACCTGACTTATTTTTAATAATGAGTATTAGTTATACATTTAAACACACTGCCTAATAAACCCTTGTTAGTGAGCAGGAAGAAATGCAGCCTCAAGGAATAGCAAGACCCCACAATGTGTCACTGAAATTCCCAACATTATTTTAACTGCAAAATTAGCCTGTTACTCCCAAGGAAGCCATCTCTATGAAACAAAATGACAAAAATCTTACCTGTTAAATTCAGTTGCCTCCCTTCCTGGGGAGAAAAAAAAAAAAGAAAACAGAGGGAAGGAGAGAGGGAAATAAAAATATATTTAGAATACTCTAAATGCAATCTTCTAATTCTTCCTTAACACTCAAGAAAGTACATTTACTTGATGTATAAAATTAGACTAAATGACTAAGGAGGGTTTTTTCACCATTCAAATTTTTATTCTGAAACGTTCCAGCCTAACCAGAAACGAAGGGAATAGTGGTTCATTTTTTACGAAGCAAGAAATCTAAGGGATTTGTGAAATGTGCTGAGATCATTCTTTGTATAGACCCATGAAAATAAACATAGTACACATCATTCTAACATTTTCTTTACTGTAACGATTTGAATTTTTGACACAAGAATGTAGTTTAAGTTGAAATGATTTTGTACTGTATTGATTTAAAGAACCCTAAATCCCACTAGCCCCAAGTGAGAAAAATCAATATTCATCAGGTGAGCTGGTTACTCTCCCCAGTGTAACTTTGGCTGTTTTTTTTTTTTTTCTCCTTTGAGCACGGCCTGCAGGATCTCAGTTCCCTGATAGGGACTGAACCCAGGCTACAGCACTGAAAGCCACTAGGCCATCAGGGAACTCCTTTTTTTAGAGATGTGACATGCTTTGATTCCATGTTGGAAAAAGATATGGTGACAGATAAGGTAGCAAGTGACTGGAGAGAGCTGAGGTGGGCCTTTAGTGTGGGCTTTCAGAGTAATCTCTTTGCTTGGGCATGTTAAATCCATGCTCTTCATTTCTGTTCATGAATAATACCAACATGGAACATGGAAGCTTGGCCATATCCTTTTGTCAGCTCCCTTTGTGTAAGTGAGAACTTATTAATAAGAATTCATTTGTATGTTATTGTATAGAAGTTTCTTATAAACTGGGCACCATATCTTAATTCATTTTTGATGCCCCTCTAATCCATGCACACACAAGCACCATAAAGGTTTGCTTTTTAAAAAGTAACAAGTAGGTGGACACATGTACACCCATGCCTGGTTCATGTCAATGTATGGCAAAAACCACCACAAAATTGTAATTAGCCTCCAATTAAAATAAATTAATTAATTTTTAAAAGGTAACAAGTAAAAAGCTGAATGATTATTTTTTTGGTCAACACTTACATCATTTGAGGCTTCAGAGTTGTGATAACCCTTCTTTTTATTCCTGTGTTGACTTTTCACCACTGAAAGATCCAAGAAATATCTATCAGACTCAGGTCTCAGCCTTGTAGGAAGCAAGAGAGAACAAAGTCTCATACTAAGAGAAGCATCAGAGGAAAGGAGAAATTCATTCACTAAAATTTACAGCAACCAAGCACCAAAAGAGGCAGATTCGTCCTGATTTTGAAAATTCCATCCCACTGATTCAAGTGGTACAGAGATATGCCACATCTTTCTTTAAAATTTTTTAAAATATTTTTTTAATGTGGACCATTTTTAAAGTCTTTTATTGGGTTTGTTAAGGCTTCCCTGGTGGCTCAGATGGTAAAGAACCTGCCTGCAATGTGGGAGACTGGGTTCAATCCCTGGGTCAGGAAGATCCCCTGGAGAAGAGAATGGCAACCCACTCCAGTGTTCTTGCCTGGAGAATTCCATGGACAGAAGGGTCCAGCAAGCTACGGTCCATTAGGGTCACAAAGAGCTAGGACACGACTGAGCAACTAACACACACACTGGATTTGTTACAATATTGCTTCCATTTTACGTTTTGGTTTTCTCGCCATAAGGCATGTAGGCTCTTAGCTCCCCAACCAGGGATCGAACCTACACCCCATGCCCCATGCACTGGAAGATGAAATCTTAACCACTGGACCATCTGGAATGTCCTGATATGCCACATTTTAATGGAGCCATCCAGTTACCACACACTGGCCTAGCCTGAAGCTGGCTTTTGCCTTATTGTGTGGCCATCACCACTCCGTCTCGCTGGCTTGAAGCTGGGTAACATGGCTATAGCAGGGCAGAGAAGCCATAGGTTACAGAAAGTTGACATCGGTTTGCCATGAAGTGGCATTTAAAGTGTTTAAACACTGAGTTTATATTTTCAGCTAAACAACCTCTCAAGGCAAGATAATTTTTTTATCTTCAGTTGACCTGGAGAAACAGTGGTTTGTTCCAATAGAAAAGAAAAATTGGATGTATCAGTGCTTTTGAAAGTTGGCTCTGCTATGTGTTGTATGAATGATCTAATGGGAGTTTTCTAGAATAATTATTGCTGTTGCTTTAGTCACTAAGTTTTGTCTGACTCTTTTGTGACCCCATGGACTGTAGCCCACCAGGCTCCTCTGTCTATGGGGTTTCCCAGGAAAGAATACCGGAGCGGGTTGCCATTTCCTTCTCCAGGCAATCTTCCTGACCCAGGGATCGAACCTGTGTTTTCTGCATTGGCAAACAAATTCTTTACCACTGAGCCACCTGAGAAGCCCAGAGTAATTACAAGTATTTCAAATTTTGGTTTACCTGATGATTTTACTAAGTAACTCTTGCATAAAAGTTATGCCACAGTCTTTAAGGTTAAAGTAGTTAAATAATTTAAAAATATGGGGTCTGGACAAGGGAGAAGAGGCACAGAGAGGGATGAATTTCTCAAGCGTCTGCTGCAATCCCTTTGCTCTTGGAGTTCTCTTTATGCAGGGGATTATCTCAATGTAGAGTGAAGGACTACTTCCAATTCTTGGCCAACTTGGCTGCTGTCTAAATGAAAATGCCCTTGTTCGTGGGGAGGATGGGAATATCTAATCAGTGCCCCAGAATGGTTGCTCAAAAACAGTAGCTGAAGGATAATATCATCTATTCTTATCAGCTCTCAGGGGTGCATTTAGAAGTAGGAAATTTAACTCTATACCAGAGTTGGTACCTGGTAGGAGCTTTCTTACAAGTAAAAGACAGAAGGGAATTCTTGTAAACAATGACTTCCCAAGTCACTTCAACCTGCCATTTGAATGAAGTAAGAGCTTACCTTTGTATATTATTAGAACTATTGGAATGAGGAGGATCAGCAGGGCCCATAAACTGTTTGAGTGAGATCTGGATCCTGTAGATAGGAACATTGTACATGGTATATGAAAGTACGTACTTCTTAAGATTATAAAAAAAAAGATGAAAACAAAGTACTCATAGAATCAAAATGGATTGCCTTTTCTTCGTATTTTACAGTGAGTTTGGGAGAAAGAAGAGTATAATCATAAAAAGAAATAATAACCTTTGCATTTGGTGTTGCTAGTTGGTGAGCACTTCTCAATGATTCCATGTTCACACCTAGAAAAAAACATAGAGGGAATTCAAAAAGTCTGATGGACTGATTCCTTGATCATTTTCAATAACGTACTGTAAATCCAGGGACATTTTATCTGTTTTTGCATCTCGGGCAAACATATTCCCTCAAATATTTCTAGATTAGCTTTCTGTTGTTGTACAGTCACTCGGTCGTGTCCAACTCTTTGCGACCCCATAGACTGCAGCACGCTAGGCTTCCCTGTCCTTCACCATCTCCCAGAGTTTGCTCAAACTCATGTCCATTGATTCGGTGATGCCAACCAACCATCTAATCCTCTGTCATCCCTGTCTCTTCCTGCAATCAATCTTTCCCAGCATCAGGGTCTTCTGCAATGAGTTGGCTCTTCACATCAGGCAGTTGAAGTATCGGAGCTTCAGCTTCAGCATCAGTCCTTCCAATGAATATTCAGGGTTGATTTCCTTTAGGACTGACTGGTTTGATCTCCCTGCTGTCCAAGTGGTTCTCAAGAGTCTTCTCCAACACCACAGTTTGAAAGCATCAATTCTTCGGCACCCAGCCTTCTTTATGGTCCAACTCTCACATCCATACATAACTAATGGAAAAACCATAGCTTTGACTATATGGTCCTTTGTCAGCAAAGTAATGTCTCTGTTTTTTAAAACACTGTCTATGTTTGTCATAGTTTTTCTTCCAAGGAGCAAGTGTCTTTTAATTTCATGGCTGCAGTCACCATCCACAGTGATTTTTGGAGCCCAAGAAAATAAAGTCTGTCACTGTTTCCATTTTTTCCCCATCTATTTGCCATGAAGTGATAGGACCAGATTGGAGAAGGAAAAGGCAACCCACTCCAGTGTTCTTGCCTGGAGAAACCCATGGACAGAGAAGTCTGGCGGGCTACAGTCCATGAGGTCGCAAAGACACAGACATGACTGAGCGACTAAGCATGCATGCCTAATGAGATCGGATGACATGATCTTAGTTTCTTTTAGCATCTACTTGGTGCAAATTCGTAACATAATTTGGGTGTTTGGATGAAAAATATCCTAAAGAATGACTATGGGTTAAAAATACCTTGAGGAAAAAAAAAAGTCATTAAAATATCAACATGTGAGAAAAAAAGAATAGACATAAAAATAAAGTTTAATTAGCTAATAAACTTAAAATCATAAATTGCCAAAAGCAATTTCAAAACAGTCATGGAGCAATAAAATGCTCAGACAATAGCCCACTGTCCAGGCTGCTGCTTATGGAGTCTACCTAGCTAGCCCCTAAAGACCTCCTTTTTTATATTAACTAGTGATAGGGCACTCAAGAAGTCCCTGTAGGATTTTCTTCAGACAGCCAAATACTGACAAATTATCTGAATTATAACCTGGCTCTGCCCATTCCCTAACTAGGTGAGCTTTGACAAATTTTTACAGCACATATTACCCAATCTGATTGTCACAGAAAAGATGTTGATAAGACAAGTGAGTATTATTTGCATCCACATTCAAAAAACTATGATCATGGCATCCAGTCCCATCACTTCATGGCAAATAGATGGGGGAAAAAATGGAAAGTGACAGACTTTATTTTCTTGGGCCACAAAATCATTGTGGATGGTGACTGCAGCCATGAAATTAAAAGACACTTGCTCCTTGGAAGAAAAGCTATGACAAAACTAGACAATGTATTAAAAAGCAGAGACAATACTTTGCTGACAAAGGACCATATAGTCAAAGCTATGGTTTTTCCATTAGTTATGTATGGATGTGAGAGTTGGACCATCAAGAAGGCTAAGTACCAAAGAACTGATGCTTTTGAGCTCTGGTGCTAGATAAGACTCTTGGGAGTCCCTTGGACAGCAAGGAGATCAAACCAGTCAATCCTAAAGGAAATCAACCCTGTATATTCATTGGAAGGACTGATACTGAAAATGAAGCTCTAATAGTTTGGCCACCTAATGCAAACAGCCAACTCACTGGAAAAGACCCTGATGGTGGGAAACATTGAGGGCAGGAGAAGAAAAGGGCGACAGAGGATGAGATGGTTGGATGGTATCATCAATTCAATGGACATGAGTTTGAACAAACACTGGGTGATAGTAAAGGACAGGGAAGCCTGGCATGCTGCAGTCCATGGGGTCGCAAACAGTTGGACATGACTTAGTGACTGAACAACAACGAAATGAGTGTGGAAACCAAAGTGCAGAGAGGTTATGTGATCTGTTCAAAATCACCTGATTAATCGGAAGAAAAGTGAAACCTAGAATCAGGTGTCCTATCTTTGGGTTAAAATTAAGCACTTTAGCATGAAAGACAGGTCCTTCATGATCTGACCTGGTTCCTTCTCAGTCTTTCTTAAACTCCAGCCAGGTCCTTTGTTCTCCAGAGCTTCCATTTGCCTTGTTGCAGTTGCTGTTCCCCTGCCTGAAATGTCCTTTCTATCTATATATACCAGGTAAGTGTCTTTCCTTCCTTTTTTCAGGACTCAAGCCATGTGTCATATCTTTACCCATCCCCCAGAGTTGAAAGGTTTTCCTATATAACTCAAAATCTGAAGCACAAGTCTTACCATATGGTCTGAACATAATAACCATCATCTTCCTTGACACTCTCTGCCTCTAGCCTTAGATCTTCAAGACTAGGCATGTGTCTGCATACATCAATGGCTTGAGCAGCCAGCACAGAATCAAGTACGCAGGAGGTGTTCAATAAATATTTAGACACAGGATGTTTGGGGGAAAAATGGTTATCTAGTTTCTTGGAGGCAAAGCAAGATTAAAACCCAAATTCTTCACTCTCAGCCAGTGTTGCTTCCCTTTCAGGAGATCATTTTCTCTCAAAATATGCCTACTGTTTTAACCAGAGAAAGACTAAAACTTACGTGGTACAAGGGTTACAGTGTTCGCACGGAGAACTGTTACAAAAAAAGTTTGATTTGCATCTGCACTTGGTATTCTGGGTCCGGGTACAGTTTTGTTCCACTTCTAGCCCTAGAAAACCAATTTGATGAATGAACAATGAAAAGGATGGGCAGGAGCAGCATGGGTTTTTGAGATCCAGCACTGACATCAGCAGTCAAACTATCAAACCTTTAGTAACATAACTAGCGTTTAAATGCCAAATAGACAACCCCAGGTTGAAAGAGCTGAAATCATCTAGCAGTGTTTTAAGCAGACAGAAAATCCAGCAACCTAGACAATCCCACCTGTACTTAAAATGGCTCCCCTGTTCTCGTCTAGAGCCTGGCTACTCAAAGTATGGCTTATAGATCAGTAACATCAGCATCACCTAGGAGCTTGTTAGCAATGCAGAATGTCAGGCCCTGCCCCAGACCTACTCAATCAGACCAATGCCAAAACCCTTACTTAGAGATTCTGATTTAATTACTCTGAGATGGGACCTGAGTGAGAGAGTGAGTGAAAGTCACTCAGTGGTGTCCAACTCTTTGTGACCCCATGGACTGTAGCCTGCCAGGCTCCTCTGTCCAAGGAATTCTCTAGGCAACAATACTGTAGTGGGTAGCCATTCTTTTCTCCAGGGAATCTTCCCAGGCCAGGGATCGAACCTGAGTTTCCTGCACTGCAGACAAATTCTTGACCATCTGAGCCACTAGGAAGCCCTTGAAACTGGATCTAAATGTTGGCAATTTTCATAGCTTCCTGTTTGATTCTACTATACAGTCAGGGTTGAGAAACACTGCTTTAGAGACTGAACAGGGACAAGAAAAGCTTTACGTTCAGAGAGTTCTTGATGTCTAACAAAATGGGGAGTACTTCTGCTTTATTTTAATCTAAACCCTCAAGATAGACTGGAATATCCATGAAAATTCAGGTCCTCGACAGTAATTATCAGGACAAGCCAGATCCTCAGAGAAAGGGGGAGCAGTCCACCCACCTCTTGGGTTTCCCTGTCCTTGTATCTGCAGGCTTCTGAGCTCTTTCTGGCTAAGAACAAAAGCCATTTTACAAGCATAAATCAAGGCAGGAAAAAAAGTCTCTGCAATTCTGATTAGAGCTGATGGGTCCTGTTCATCATGCTTACATTTAGTCATTCTCTTACATCTGGAAGAACTGCCTAGACTTGACCCATAAATGTCTAGACCGGTCATTCACACAGTACCTGATCCTGCTTCATCCCCATCAGCCCCACCCTCTCCCTCCTGTAGGCTGACATAGCACCAGCTTAGGTCCCAGTTTCTGACTGTATTATACGTGGTGCTACATGCAGTACCATAATCTGTCCCTTTTGAATGTTTTTTAAAGACACTTACCATGTTCTTCATCACAGGCGCCACATCTTATGCATTTGTCAGAATGATGGCTTGTGTCTGTGTACTCGTTCCCCTCTGAGCAGAACACACATTCTGGTATACCTCCGTCGTGTTTGCAATCACTGGTTTTCCGTTTGCCTGCCCATGGGAAAAAATGGAGCAAGTGTTTAAACACAAGGTGGTCATGCAACAGCAAGGGAAGTCTGCAGGGATGATAAAAAAAAACACTGCTGAAACATGAGTGGAAGGGCTAAGCTAATGAAATATAAATATAGTAGTGGAGAAGGTTGTTGAAAAATCGTATCAAGAGACAGAATTTCTCCCAAGACAAAAGTTAAAAGAGTTACTGAGAGCTATGCCTACTTCATTTTTAAAAAATTTTTATTGATTGACTGGTTGATTTTTGGCTGTGCTGGATCTTCGCTGCTGCACACAGGCTTTCTCTAGTCGCAGCGAGGAGGTGCTACTCTCGAGTTGTGGTGTGCAGGCCTCTCACTGCAGTGGCTTCTCTTGTGCTAAAGCACAGGCTCTAGGGCACTCAGGCTTCAGTAGTTGTGGCACATGGGCTTAGCTGCCCAACAGCATGTGGAATCTTCCTGGACCAGGGATCGAACTCACATCCCTTGCATTGGCAGATTTCAAAACACTGGCCCACCAGGGAAGTTCCTATGCCTACATCTATAGGATGATTAGCAATAGAAACATATGAAAAAGAGGTCAGAATGACCAAAAGCACTGGAAGAGATGCTTTTACCAGCTTTGGGGGGAGGAGGGAAGAAGGTTGCTAAGTATATATTCATATTAAGAGATGACTGCCACTGGCCACTGAGATGACCCAATTCTTGCTCTGACTTCTTATTTGACTTTCCAAAGTCCACAAATCCTGGCAAGAACAGTATTGTTTAAGGAAAAGAATATTTGAAGTTCTAAAGACTGGTTAAATTTTTAACAGCAATAATATCTCTAACAAGCTGCTTAATCTCTCTGAACCGAATTTCTTCATGCATGTGTTGGAGATAATCACACTTCACTTGCACAGCTAAAAGAACTGCAAGGGACCTGCCCAGTAAGTGCTCACAGTTTCCTTTTCACTCCTCTTTCTTTCTATTCCTTTGCCACTAAGTGACATAGTTTGTTATGATGTATAGGAATGAACTTTATTACCAGGTTTGCTATCTTAATACACAACATTTTAAATCATATTCATGTTTGCTTTCCTTTACTTTAAAAATAAAATGAATCATTGGATTGCTATTAGTAAGTATTATACAACAATGGCCTTCCCTGATAGCTCAGTTGCTAAAGAATCTGCCTGCAATGCGGGAGACCCTGGTTTGATTCCTGGGTTGGGAAGGTCCCCTGGAGAAGGGAAAGACTACCCACTCCAGTATTCTGGCCTGGAGAATTCCAGGGACTGTATAGTTCATGGGGTTGCAGAGTTGGACACAACTGAGCGACTTTCACTTTCTTTTTCATACAACACTGTCTTCTGGAAAATTCATTTCCTTAAGAAGTGTTTATTAATACCTATTGTGTGCCAGGCACTTTCTAGGAGCTGGAGATACCCTTGGAAGACAAGTCCTTGGTCTCCAAAGATTTCACATTCTCAAGGTAGAAGCAGGCCATGCACAAATAAATACAGATGGCAAGTGGTGATAATTGCTGTGGGGGAAGCTAGGTTATAGCAAAGGAACAGTGAAAGAAGAGAAAATATAAGGGGAACAGCAAGGGAACAGAGAAAGATGAAAGAGAAAATATAAAGGGAAGTTTAAGAGAAAAGCCTAAGTAGTGTCTAAACTTGTAATCATCTAAATAAAAAGAATAGGCAAAATCTAATCTGCCCCCCTAGTATGAACAGCAAAAATAATTTATTCTGTTTTTTTCAGGTATATGACTTTCTTAATAACTTCATAGCATTATTTGTCTTTTTCTTAGTTTTTTAAAAAAATTTATTATTGGAGTATAATTGCTTTACAATGTTGTGTTAGTTTCTTCTATCTAACAAAGAGAATCATCTTTATGTATACATAAGGATCCGCCTCCCAGTGCAGGAAATGTAAGAGACACAGGTTCAATCCCAGGCTCAGGAAGATCCCCTGGTGGAGAAAACAGCAACCCACTCCAGTATTATTGCCTGGAGAATCCCATGGACAGAAGAGCCAGGTGGGCTACAGTCCATGGGGTTGCAAAGAGTTGGACACCACTGAGCGACTTTTACTCACTCTCTCACTCAGGTCCCATCTCAGAGCAATTAAATCAGAATCTCTAAATGAGGGTTTTGGCATTGGTCCGATTGAGTAGGTCTGGGGCAGAGCCTGACATTCTGCATTTCTAACAAACTCCTGGGTAATGTGGATTTTGCTGGCTTATAAACTATACTTGGAGTAGACAGGCTCTAGGTGAGAACAGGGGAGCCATTTTAAGTACAGTTGGGATTGTCTCAATTGCTGGCTTGTCTGTCGACTTAAAATTCCACTAGGTGATTTCAGCTCTTTCAAGCTAGGGCCCAGAACCAGGATGTATATATGACAGTGCTACTTGAATTTATTGTAACATTTCAGACAATTACTTTACATAACTGTTCAGAAAATATTCTCATTTCAGATTCCATGGCAGCAACAACAAAAGATTAGTGGATTAGTATACAGAGAAAGTGAGAGAAGGGAAATTTGAGATTTATGTTAAATTTTAAAAGAAAATTCCTCAGTTACACTAGCTCATTGTCATTCATGAGCAATATGTTATAGGACCATCACAAATTCTCAGTTTCACTTATTCCAATATAGCATGTAGTTCTATTCAGAAGAATGCAGGTAAAATGTATATGAACTCATCAGATCCATTCAAATGAACCCATTCAAATGTACATGAACCTGTTATAATTCTTACAATGGTAACAATAAATAATAATATTAACACTTACTGAGCCAAGCACTCTGCTACAAACTATTAACACATTCCATTTATTGTTCACAATAATCACAAAAGGTCAGAACTATTACTACTTCCCTTTTACAGTTAAAGAACCAGACTCAAAGAAATCAAGTATCTTGCCCAAGGACATGAAGCTTGTAAATAGCTAGGAGGACCAATCATCCCTGTTTGCCTAGGATGTGAGACTTTCAGTGCTAAAACTGGGGAAGTCTTGGGCAAACCCGAATACACTGATCATCCTGTAAGTGTCAGATGGAGGATTTGAAAGCAGTGTCATGCCCGAACTTAAACTATGAAACACAATTTAATATCTGCTTGGTAAAGATGTCAGCTATCATATTACAAACTATTAATACGACAAAGCTTTTCAGGGGCTCTGATAAAACAGGTCAGGGGATCTGTCCTATTTCTCTGCCTTCATCTCACAGTCCCAGTGGCTTACCTGCTGCACTGGAGAATGTGTGTACCAGAGCATGATTCTTCACTTGCTTTCCTTTTCCTTTTTAACACTGTCCCGTAACTCGCTGTCTGAAGTCAAAGCTTCCTTGTTTGCCTTCCTGGGATCGCTTTACTGGGGAACTACTTACTTGGTATGCCCACTATAGGCCAAAAACCTAACTGCAAATGGTGATTACTACACAGTTCAACACATTACAATGTCTTTACATTTTTCTTAATTTAGAACTTTGTAAAAGATCAATCAATGTTGCAGAGATCCCTGATTCACCTAATATCCATTTTTCCTTCTCTCATAAGAAGAGAGTATTTACTAGGAAACATGGCTGTCCTGAGTCAAGACTACATCTCCCAGCCTCCTTTGCATGGTCATGTAACTAAATTCTGGCCAATGGGATGTTAGTAAAGTGTCCAGTAATATCTTCCAGGATGTTTCCTGAAGGTAGCTGATATGCACTTTATTTTAATCTGCCCTATTCGCATGAACAGCAAAAATTATGTATACCATCTTTCCTAGGAACATGACTTTCTTAATAATTTCTTTTCACAGCATTCTTTTTGATAAAACAAAATACTACTCAATACATAAACAAGCCATGAAATTTAAACATATACAATACTTTAGTAAACAAAGGCAATGATATGTCAATAGAAAAAAATAAACAAATTGTGGAAACTCAGAACCAAATTTAAATACAGGGTATCAGGGTTCTATATCATTGCAGCAGTATGTTTAAGAAAACCAAGTCAAAGTACAACTTTAATTGCTTGCCAGTAGAATTATACTGCTTTCTAAATGGACTGACCTCTTTAATGAATTACCTTGCAGAATGCTTATGGCATGACAGGGATATAATATCACAAGTTCTTTCTTTCTTCCAATGTATAAAACCTAAATTTATCAATATTAAAAAAAGGAGTTGTTTTCTTGAAAATAATATTTTAAAATATATTTGTTTCTGAGTATACTACTACATATGCTCACTGTATAAATTTTAGGAAAGTGTAAAAAGCACCTATATATCAACCACTCTGAGATATTATTTTGGTGCATTCCTACACATATAAATACACACATATATACATGTGAGTAAATACATACCTATGTGTATGTGTGTGTGTGTGTGTGTGTGTGTGTATATATATATATATCAAAATATATATATATATAAACATATATGTGCAATGTATGCAGTGTACCATAGAATCCTTCTTATTGGATATGGTGATGTGATAAGGACTTTTTTTTATTTAAAAAATGTCAGTTCACATAGGAGATCACAGAAAAATTACTACAAATAATTCAGTTTATAAAGTATACCTGTATAATTATTTGCCACTTTTGTGATATAGAAACAAGTTATTAGAATTCCAGCTTTTTTCACACTTAAGTCACATACAAAATGTATCACTTACAATTTCTTTTTTCTTTCTCCTTCTTCCTTTCTTTTTGATGGAAAGAAAAGTTAAAGACTTCAATAATCTGTATGAAAGGCTTTCATAGTTTCATTATTTTTCCCATGTATTTTGCCTCCACCTAATTCATTAATAATTTTTTTAGTAGCTCGACTTTACTGAAATTCTCCAAAGCACTAAAAATAATTTTCATAGAAATTAAATGTTTTTTCTGTGTATTTGTTTACTGATTTATGTAATGTTAAATTATATATTACTATTGCAAAAACTTTTGGAAACAATTTGGATATTGATAAGCTTAAATTTTTTTTCAAAAAGGAATAGAAGTGGGAAGGTTTTTAGTACATATTGAACACCATCCAGGATGTTTTAGAGATGGAGCAGAGAGAATCAGTTAATCTAGCCAGCAAGCAGATCAGTTAGAAATCTCTTAAGGAAATTTATATACATTGAGGTTTATATCATAAATATATCAGAAGACATGATTTTGATTGATACATAGTCTTCCAATCTTTGAATACTTTGGAATTTACTTAATCTCACATCATTGGGTATCACAGTGAAATGTTATGCATATGCAAATCTATTATAGTATCAGTAGATTTTCAAATTTTTGACCCGCATATCAGAATTTCTTTCTTAAAATGTTTTAACAATTTACATTCCAAGAGTGACGTAGGCGAGTTTGCTTATCTCACAAGCAAACTCACTAGGACTGAGATCACTTTGAAAATGAAAATAAAATAAAGAAAAACAAAAAAAGCAAGCAAACAAAAGTCCTTAACAGCTTGATATGCAAAGCATATTATCTTCATTTTAATTTGCATTTTAGGGTTTAAAAATATGAGTAAAGATGTCAATTCATAAGACAAGTAGATGGTGCTTGTGAGTGAGCATGAAGTCGCTCAGTCGTGTCCAACTCTTTGCGACCCCATGGACTGTAGCCTACCAGGCTCCTCTGTCCATGTGATTTTCCAGGCAAGAGTACTGGAGTGGGTTGCCATTTCCTTCTCCTCTCCAGGGGATCTTTCCAAACCAGGGATCAAACCCAGGTATCCCACATTGTAGGCGGATTCTTTACCAGCAGATTACAAAAAGCCAGGAAGCCATTCTTTATTCTCATTTGTAGAAGACTAAATATAAATAGGCTTAAATATAAATGGGTTGGATTATGACAGATTTTCCATAAGGGTTGTTAAAACCTGGAGAGAAGGCCAAGTAAGATGGTTAGAATCTTTTCATAAACAGGGCCCACATCTGTCTAGCAGCTTAAGTACTGGAGGCCTGGAAAGCCAAATATGAAACCTACTACCATCCTTTATGGTTCTATTAATCTATTGCATATGTCCATGTGCTGTTTTCCTTTATCTTCCTGTCTTCCTTCATGATGCAGCTGGGAAATGCTTATCTGTATAACATAGTAGTCAACTCTACTCCGTGTTGAAAATAAAAGTCTGCACAACTGCATTTCGCTTAGCTTTTAATTTGCTAGTGTTCAGAGGATTTCCGATCTGAAATTGGGTTTTCATTTCAAAAATACTGATTTTAAAAAATGGTTGGTTTTTATCCGTTGCTTTTCTAGCTCATCTAGTTATTCAGTTGCAAAATGCAAATGTATTTTGCAGGCTTCAGTGCTAGGACAAACATTTTTCTTAGAGACTTTCTGATTGAAGGGAAGTGTTAAGACATATCTCTTAAGAGTAGAAATTTCTTGCTTTTAGAGCTCCACAATTATTATGATACATTCTAACCAGTTCTGATGTGGTCAATTTTAATATCCACAAACTAGTCTTTTTTGGGTATTGAAAAATGGAGCTAAACAAATAAATCCTGTCACTTCTGAGGTACATGTCATTTACAAATTATATTTACTCATGCTCACATCAAGCTAGTGTGACAAAGATAAAACAAGCTGGCCTTGGAGGAATAAAACCACCATATGACCCAGCAGTCCCACTCCTAGGCATATACCCTGAGGAAACCAAAATTGAAAAAGACACATGCACCCCAACATTCACTGCAGCACTATTTACGATAGCTAGAACATGGAAGCAACCTAGATGTCCATCAACAGATGAATGAATTAAGAAGTTGTGGTACATATACACAATGAAATATTACTCAGCCATAAAAAGGAACACATTTGAGTCAGTTCTAATGAGGTAGATGAACCTAGAGCCTATTATACAGAGTGAAGTAAGTGAAAAAGAGAAAGATAAATATCATATACTAATGCATATATATGGAATCTAGAAAGATGGTACTGATGAATTTATTGGCAAGACAGCAATGGAGAAACAGACATAGAGAATAGATTTATGGACATGGGGAGAGGGGAGGAGAAGCTGAGATGTAGGGAGAGAGTAACATGGAAACTTACATTACCATATAAAATATATAGCCAACAGGAATTGGCTGTGTATCTCAAGGAACTCAAACAGGGGCTCTGTGACAAGCTAGAAGGGTGGGGTGGGGAGGAGATTCAAGAGGGAGGGGACATATGTACACCTATGGCTGATTCATGTTGATGTTTGGCAGAAAACAACAAAATTCTGTAAAGCAATTATCCTTCAGTTAAAAAGTAAATAAATGTAAAAGTTAAGCTAGTCTTGGGAAAATAATGTCATAGTTTTTTTTCTTTTCAGTCATGCCATAATGCAAGAGAACTAAATGCGTATAGACACTCTTCAGTATTACTACATGCTACTCCTCACCCTGATTTTCACTCTGATTACTGGATTTTTTTGTTTGCGTGTTTATAACATACCAGGCGGACAAGGCAGACAACAAAATTGGTGCTCACGATGTAGGCCTTCTGGGCAGGAACTCACTTCAGTAATATTCTTAGTCAATTTCAGCACCTCAGAGTTGATACCAGCCACGGGGGCCTTTTCACCTTTAGACAATGGTCCAGCAACAGAGATAAATATCTGTAAAAGAAAAGCATGAAGAGAATTCTACTGACTTTTGAACTAAGCAACTTGGTAAAAAGGTGTTAACTCACCCCAAACGGCTGTGTTTATTTGCTGCACACAGATCGACGTAGGCTCCATCCTTCCACAGACCCATCTCCAAAAAAGGAGCAGGTCAACCTCGTAACAGTCCAAACCTCAGGTTCTCCAAACCACCCCAGAAAAACAGCATCATAGATGGTAGCTCTGGCCTCAAAAGTCATGGCTCCCACTTACCAGCCACAAGATTGAGGGAAAAGTCACTTAATTTTTCCAAGTCTCTGTTCTTCTGTAAGGTAGAAATAATCTCTTCTTCACAGATTTGGTGTGATAAATAAAATAATGCGTTTAAAGCTCTTAGCACAATTCCAGACACACAACAAATAGGTGTCTGGTAAGCAATATTATTATTATTTATTATTGTTGCATTATCATAAAGTTCCAGCAAGGGACAACATAGCAGACTGGGGAAAAAAAATGAAATTTAAATACAGTTGTGGTTTGAATCCTAGCTCTGCTGTTGACATTGACTTTGGGCAAGTTAGATAACCTCAGTGATCCTCAATGTCCTCATCTGTAAGGGACAACAGTACTTTCTGTTTTGAAGGGCTGTGAGGATAAAAAGTGGTAATTTCTCCCAAACCTGGTACTTAGCTTATAGAATTTTCTATTTCTCCCTTTTTTATATATAGTGACAGAATCTTCAGTGTTGATGAAATCCTTCCTGGTTAACCAGCACTAATAGGTGAATCAGACAGTGAGTAATCTGCCAACAGTGCAGAAGACTCAAGTTCAATCCCTGGGTGGGGAAGATCTGCTGGCGAAGGAAATAGCAACCCACTCCAGTATTCTTGCCTGGACAATCATGGACAGAAGAGCCTGGTGGCTTTCACAATAAATCCCACAGGATTTTTTTCACTTTTATTCAGGAAAAATGAACTTATTTTAATACTGGTTCCTCTGTTTGGGAGACAAAACCCATACGGGACACTGTGTCAGATTTATCTTAGTCAGTTGTAGACTTGAGTTCCTCAGAAAAATGAGCTCCTAAAATGTATAGAAACATTTGGGGTTAATGTCTGTTTGATTCCTTTCTCAGGTTTTCTAAACATTTATTGTTTGTCTCTCCAAACACAAAGTTTAATAATCTTTCATTCTATGTGGAATATGTAAATTCATTGCCAAGCATCAAAATTTTTTTAACTACTAGTTCTGAGGGTTTTTTCCCTCAAGGTCATTTTTCACAGTTTTCATGGCATACATTATTTTTTTCTACTTCATGGCATCTCCTGGGTTAAGGGAACTAAACCTTTGTGTATAAATCCTGTCACAGGAGTCCCCAAATCTTCCCTTTTAGCCCTTCCACCTTTGTCACCAAAGCCTGCATTCCCCTCTAAGTCACAAGATACCATGGGACCTCCAAGGAAGGAAGGATGAAGGAGTTGTGGTTGCCATCTTTTCCTTCTGGGATGGCTGATTTAAAAAATGCATTTCCAGGGACTTCCCTGGTAGTCCAGTGCTTAAGAACCCACCTCGAAATGCAGAGGACATGAATTCGATCCCTGGTTGGAGAAACTAAGATCCCACATGCCAAGGAGCAACGAAGCCCTCATGCCACAACTACTGCAGCCCACAAGCTCTGGAGCCCACATGCTATAACTAGAGAGACAGTCTGTGCAGCAACAAAGATTCACGTGTGGCAACTAAGACCCAGCCCAGTCAAAGAAAGAAAGGAAGAAAAATATTTAAAAAATAAATAAAAAAACAAAAATCCATTACTAACATCCAGACTCCAGGAGGAAAAATCACACCAGAATATCAAGAAAATACCTGACTTATCCAGGGTCACTCATGAGCAAAAAGCAGAGAGCTAGGACTTGTCTAAGTCACCTTACTCATATTAAGTGTTTTTCTTGCTACACCCAACTCACCGTAAAATGTAGCTTACTTTTTCTATGTCAACGATTCTATTTAAAGAATAACTGGAGCTGGTAAACAGATCAGAGGAATTATGCCTCAGTGTGCTGGCTTCACTATCAAACCACTGCCTTTTCAACCCAACAGACATTTCTTTAGCACATTCTCTGTGCCAGGTTCTGTGAATAGAGAGCTGTGTAACACTGATTATAATCGAAAATGAATGTTAAGTTTCCAAAAGCAGACTTGCACAGGGATGTGTTATTTATAATATATTAATCATTGGGGAATTTTTTTAACATTCTACTTGCCTGACTTTTAGTTTTTAAAACACATTTGAACCTATGGTCTTTTTCTAAAACATCTCTGAACTAAAGATATTTATCAGTATTAATGTCTCTTTTCAAGATGACAGTTCCCCAATTCTTACCTTCTCTACAGAAGATCATCCTGTTAATATTAGTCCCTCTTCTAAATCATAGAATCAATGGCTAATGAACAGTAACTGAATTGGACACTTTAGGAAATAATGTGATTGAAATCACACCAAAGCATTCACTGTTAAGATGGGAAGGGCTTTCAAATGAAAATCACTCATGTTTTAGGATCCTCATTCTATCACAAACTTTGCTCTATGTGACAGTCAGGAATTAAATATACTAACCATATAACATTCCAGACAATGCCAGCACATGAAAATTCTTGCACAAATGTACAAATCTCTGTTGCTAGAAGAAATCAGTAAGCCCCTTCTACAACAGATAATGGAAAACTGAATCTAAGCAACCAAGCTGAGTAGGAGCAATTTCTTTGTGTTATCAGCCACCTCAAGGCCTGGAAAGAGGGAGTTAACAGTGAGATACTACTTGCTCTCCTCTTTCAATTCTGGTTTCTCACCAGAAACTGAAGAAAATGCCACAGATTTAAACTCAAAGAGATTTGAGTCAAAATTGGACTAGTCAAAACTGACAGCTCAAAGGTGTTCAAAGTTGATGCACAGTAGTGTGTGTGTGTGTGTGTGTGTGTGTGTGTGTGTGTGTGTGTACCCTCCAGCTATAGGGCCCATCTTCCTTGGTATGCTAATTTCATTCAATAATCATGTGACAATATTATGAGCAGGTCCACAATTCCTGGTTTAAATGATCAAGTGCTCAAACGAGCAGCACATTTTACATTTATGAATTGTTATATTAGTGTTATTTCTAAAAACACTGTGCATATACTCAACTTTCTGGAACTGTCTGAAAGAAATGTCCTTGCTAATACATTTCACTTTAGTTTTGAAGTTTTTGACTGGAAATCAAAAGTCTCTGTTCAAAATACATTCAGAATTTGAGAAATATGAATCTTGGAGTAGACCAGTGAAAGACATTCACATTGGCCCTGAAGCAGATACTGGCACCACGAAACTCACCTCATATTTGATCACACCAGCTTCAGAGAGTTCAATTTCTGGAAACATTTCCTACTTACTTCAGCATCAAACAATTATGTCAAGTATTAAAAAAAGAAAGATGGGTCTAAAGAGCATATTCTAACTGTTACATGATACGATGTAAGCAGTTTCTACACAGCTTGCATTTTTTTAAGTTTTTAAATTAGCTCAAGTTTGCAGTATGCAAAGATTTAACCCAAACTTTCCTAGCAGAAACTGGGGTGTTTTTAATTGTGACAAGGCAGGAAACCCACAAAGAACTAAATGATCAGAATGCTCAAAAATTGTTTTTCAAAAAAGCTGAAAAGGCCAGAAAATTAGTTAAAGATTTGAAAAGCAGATAAACTAAGGAAAATGACAACCAAATGGGGAGAAAAGGAATAAAATTAACCATCATAACAAAGGTTAAAAAGTCAAAAGGACCTCAGTTTTAGATTCTGCTGGGAATAATATTTGCTGATACATTAATCAATTATTTAAATGAGCAAATACTTTGCTGAGTACCTCTGTTGCTGTTTAGTCACTCAGCCATGTCCGATTGTTTGTGACCCCATGGACTATAGCCTACCAGGATCCTCTGTCCATATATGGGATTTTCCAGGCAAAAATACTGGAGAGGGCTGCCATTTCCTTCTCCAGTTGAGTGCCTGCTCTGTGCCAGACAGACTCTGGGAACAGAGCAGTATATAGATAAAGACTCAGCTCTTATAGCTGCTGGGGCTGCCGCTAAGTCGCTTCAGTCATGTCCAACTCTGTGCGACCCCATAGATGGCAGCCCACCAGGCTCCCCCATCCTGGGATTCTCCAGGCAAGAACACTGGAGTGGGTTGCCATTTCCTTCTCCAATGCGTGAAAATGAAATTGCTCAGTCATGTCCGGACTCCCAGCGACCCCATGGACTGCAGTCCAACAGGCTCCTCCGTCCATGGGATTTTCGAGCAAGAGTACTGGAGTGGGGTCCATTGCCTTCTCTGAGCTCTTATAGCATTTATGTGTACATGAAGTGTATTGGTCAGGCTTCTCAACAGAAACAGACCCAGTAGAGTGAGTGTGAGTGTGTGTGTGTGTGTGTGTGTGTGTGTGTGTATGAAGAGACAGAGACTGATTGATTTTCAGGAATTGGCTCACACAACTGTAAAGGCTTGGCAAGTCCAGATTCAGCTGATGGAGTAGGTCAGTATGTTGGAGAGTCAGAGGGAGAGCAGCTGAAGTTCAAAGGCAGTCTGGCAGAATTCTTTCTACCTTAAGGGTCTCAGTCTTCGTTCTACTAAGGCCTTCAACTGATTGAATGAGACTCACACACATTGCAGAAGGTATCTAATTTACTCAAAGTTTAGCACTTTAAATGTTCAACTCATACAAAGCAAACAAACTAAGCCTTCACAGAAACATCCAGAGTACTGTTGGAACAAATATCTGGGTGCCATGGTCCAGTCAAGTAGACAAATAATATTAGGCATCACATGGAGGGAAATGATGAAGAAACAAAGAAACAGGTGACATAACCAGGAGGGATATGACTATTTAAAGGAATAAGGCAAGCTTGGGGGCATGGAGAATTTGAGGTGTGAGGCAGTGCTCTTTTAGTAAGACTTATCTGTGAAGGCCACTGAATAAGAAGACTGAC